CAATTAGCGTGAATCTAGCCCATGCTGCCATGCCTATAAAACTCAACTAATAAATAAACTGAAATTCATTTGATAGGTGTAAATTGAAGTTTTATTTATTGCTAGGCCAAAAAGGATGAAAAATAGGACTAAAAGTATGTACACATAATGAAAAATTTAAAAACTATCCCATAACAACTTAAAATTTAAAATTAAGTAACTAAAAGTAAAATAGGACTAATAATGCTAAACTGCCAAATATATAAAGCCAAATAATAACATAACATATCTATTTCATAGAAACCTATTCCTATTTCATAGATTTGTAACAAACCAAACTCAAAGAATAAAATTTGAACCACACAAAAATTCATATTTCAGTCAAAGAATTTTCACAAGCAAAACTTGAAAATTAACAAAAGTTCACAAGAATAAATAAATAAATATTAGCGGTAAAGGCACACGCGATGCATGTGTAAATTTTTTTTAAAAAATTATGCGATTGAGTTAATAAAAATTGAATTAAGGAACACTACTTTTCAATTGATAAAAATTTTAATACATCCTCATTCAATAGAGAAAAAAAGAAAAAGAAAAAGTCAAGTTCAATTCACAAATTTCAGATAAATCAAAGAAATTCAACCAAAATGGGGTAGCACATAGTGCCAGAGCCTCTGCACCTCCTAGGGTTTAACTGACCATTCTAAAATAACATGTGCATGGCTCTTACAATTGTTTGAGTCTTTCTCTATTTCAATTTCCTTTCTATATATATATCTATATCTAAAAGGAAAGGCCAAAATTGAGGTAGATGTCACATTTTATTTTCCTTTCCAAAATATCCTCATGTAATTGCCCAGATCAAAATGTCCTATAACTAATGAAATCCAAATTCAAATTGAGATCAAAATTTATAACCTGTAATAGCACACCACACACCTCTTGTATAGCATAGTATAGATATAAACAAATTGACATAAAAATGAGTAATAAAAATCAAAATTGGAGGGATTTGAAAATACCTAGCAGCATGAGAATGCTGAATTGTGTAGTAGCCGGCATGGTGACCCAAGTCTACGGCGGAAACGTCGGAAACGTCGGGGTCAACGAAATTGGGAAACTTGAAACGCTTTTCGACGATGTTGATGGACTCCTTTGGGAAGAAATTAAGCTCTCTGATCAACTTCTCACCCTGAACCGACGGAAGCATCGCGTTTGATGGTATGTGAAGAGTCGCTGAACCCCAAGAACAGAGAAGAAGGAAAGGAGAAACCAGTTATACACAAACCGAACCCTTCATCTCTCTCTCTCTCTCTCTCTCTCGGGGAACCCGATTGGGGATTTTGGTTGAAGAGTTGGGGATTTTGGGTTTTTTGGGAGCGGGAATGGAAAAAAAAGGGGGGGAACCGAGCGGGAATGGAAAAAAAATATATATATATATATATATTTTTTTTTAATTTTTATTTATATATATTTTTTGATTTCCATCAATATTTAAACAGTAAAACGACTCTTTTTTTTTTTTGCAACGACAATAAAATTTATTTTTTGTTAAAATAATTTTTTTTTATAGTTAGTGAATTTTTTTTATTTTTCATTTTCTTTTAGTTACTAATATTGAAAATTTATTTGTTTCAGTGTTATTTTAATGAATAAAAAATTATTATTTTTTTTTTGTTATTTGACAGAAATAGGGGTAATATTTTAATGAAAAATATTTTCTATTAAAATAAAGTTAATTTTTTGTGGTCAATGAAAAATATTTTTCTACAACCCATTTTTTTTTTTACTAAAAATCAGAAACTAATTTTTTTTTGGTAAAGGATAGGGAGCAGCAGTAGTGGTGAAGGTAGTGGATAAGAGGTGATAGTGGTGGTGATGGCGGTGGTGATGGCGAAGGAGATTAGTGGTGAAGTTGTGGTAGTCGTAAAGGAGATAGAGTAGCAGTGGTGGAGGAGAGGTAATAGTAGTAATAGTGGTGGCAGTGGAGTGGTGGCGATTGTGGTAGTAATGATAGTCGTAGAGGTGGCATGGCAACAGTGGTAGCAGTGATGGTAGTGGAATGACATTTGCAGTAGTGGAGAAGACGGTAGACGATATGGGTGGTAAGAGAGAGAGAGTGAGAGACAGACAGAGAAGAGAGATAGAGAGAGAGAGAGAGTGATGAGTGAGAAAGAGACAAAATGGTCGCTAAAAGTGCATTTTCTTGTAGTATCTCGATAAATCGAAAGAGAGCTTGATAAATAGAGAAGATGAGAGGGGGAGAGTGAGCAAGGTGAACACAATGAGGGAGAGAGAGAGAGAGAGACAGACAGACAGAGAGAGAAAGAGAAAGAGAAGAGTGATGGGTGAAAGAGAGTGAGACAGAGAGAGAAAGAGAGAGAGAGAGAGAGACAGAAAAATAGAGAGAAAAAAGAGATGAGCAAGAGATAGACAAAAAGAGAGAGAAAGAGAGCGAAAAGAGATGAACGAGAGAGAGACATAGAAAAAGAAAGAGATAGAGGGAGAAGAGAGATGAGCGAGAAGAGAAAAAAGAGAGATAAGCGAGAGAGACAGAGAGAGAGATAGAGAGATGAGCGAGAGGGACAAAGAGAGAAAAAAGATGAGAGAGATAGAGAGATGAGCGAGAGAGAGAAGACAGACGAGAGAGAAAAGCGATGAGCGAAAGACACACACACACACACACAGACAGACAGAGAAAGAAGAGTGATGAGTGAAAGAGAGAAAGAGAAGCGACAGAGACAGAGAGATAGGAAGATGAAAAAATTGGTGAAGAGAGAAATGTTATATTAAAACAATTAGACGACGTCGCTTTTTTTTTAATTTTTTTGCGACAGAAAAATACCGTTGTATTTATTCAAACTATTTGGTGACTGTATATTTATGAAGTTGTCTCAAAGACACAATATTTTATTATTATTATTATTATTTTTACAACAGTACCTATTACAGTCGCAAAAAACTCACTTTTTTTTTTTTTTGCGACAACAGTTGGTGCCGTCGCAAAAACTTTATTTTTTCGTGACAACGATCTCTGCCGTTGCAAATATTGTTCTTTTTTGCGACAGTAATTTCTGCCGTTGCAAATACTCTATTTTTCTACGACAATAAATAATGTCATCGTAAAAACTCCCCTTTTTCGCGAAGGCAAGTTGTGCTATCTCAAAAAGTGACTTTTTGAGACAGCAAGTGTGCCGCTGCAAATGCTTCCATCTTTTAAGCTCACTTTTCTTGTAGTGAGAGCTCAGGCACAACTAGGAAAAATCAAGGGAAAGAAAATTGAGTGGGGAAAAAAATGAAGAAAAGTTGCGAAAAAAATTTAGGAGAAAAATTATTTAGTAAAACAAAATAAAATCACGTCATAGATAATTTTTTTCAGCATATTTTTTATTAAAATTAAATTAAATTATATATATATATATATATGTCTATAAGTGTCTATTGATATTTTAAAAGTATATTGTTTGTATATTATTATTTGTATTATTTTTAATGAAGATACTATGACTAAAAATAAATATAAAATAGAGATAGGTGATCAATTGCAATTGTCACTTAGGGATGACACTTCAAAATTAATTGAGAGAGTTGAGAGTTCAGAGAGAATAAGAGTTTGAGAGACAGATTTGTTTGTGAGAAATAAAATGTGAGAATGGTGGTATTTATAGGACTTAGAAGGAAGGGGTTAATTTATATATATATAAATAAAAAATAAATAACTTTGGTTGTTGGTGGAATTAGCGGTTATATGACTCTTTCAAATTGTTTTGTTTTAAATTTTTGACCATTGCAATAACAGGGGGGCAGGGAGCCGTTGGGGTCGGATTGAGCCAGATGGGGAAGAAAATTTTGGGCCGAGCTCACGGGATGGGTCACACTCCATAACACACCAGGGTCAGGACGGGCCGGGCCGGGCTCTAGAACACATAGCCTAGGGTTTTAGGTTGGGCTTAGGCTCGAGCCTGGTTGGGCCTACCCAGGGCAAGAGCGGACTTGGGGTGTGCCTCGAGCTCGTGGGCCAAATTTACACCCCTATATGTGGGTAGTGGTTATGAGATATATGATTAGTGGTTATGATATATGTGATATTGATTATGAAACAAAGGGTGCTGGTTATGAGATGTGGTTATAACATATGTGGGTAAAGGTAATGAGATATATGATTAGTGATTATGAGATATGTGAATCTGGTTATGAGCAGAGTGGTATAGTTATAAGTCAAAGGGTGTTTGGTTATGAGATATGTGATTAGTAGTTATGATATATGTGATGTTGGTTATGAGATATGTGGGTAATGGTTATGAGTAAAGTGGTGTCAAAGAGTGTTTGGTTATGCTATATGTGTTAGTGGTTATGAGATATGTGGGTAATGGTTATGAGTAAAGTGGTGTCAAAAGGTGTTTGGTTATGCTATATAAGCGTGTTAAGTAATTGACTGAGATGAAATCCTAAATTGATTGCATGGGTATGTATTTTAATTGCATTCTTATCTGTTTGATATAGGAAGATCTGTTTGTGTTTGGATTCTAAATTGCGAATTGAAAGCCTTATCGGCAACCGATTCAGAAATTGACTTGGGTTATATGCTAATTAGGATTTATACAATTTTATGGTAGGTTTAATTAAAATTCAATTTGGAATGATTAAATTAGAATAAATAATGCTAAATTGATTGAGCCTAAGTTATTTACACTTTTGCCATTAGTGGGTCTTTTCAAGGCCATTTGTTTGGTTCCTTATATGTTTGGCATTATCTACCTTCCACCTCCTTGAGCAAAAACGTGAGTGAGAGAGAGTATGAGAAAATTTGATTCAACTAGAGAATAGCTTGAAATTTGAGGAAATTGAAGAAACTTTGAGGACTTGTCCATCTTGCTCAAGAATTTAGCACCTAAAGTCCAATTGAACATCTAAGGTAAGAAATCTAGTCCCTAGTCTTGAATTTAAGTTGAATCACCTATGAATTCAAGTGAATTGAACCTTGAGTTATGAGATTTAAGCTTAAGAAATGTTAATTCATGCATGCATGTCCATATCATGGAGTTTTGAAGTTATTTTGCATGAAATTCTTACATGCATGTCTAGATTATAGTTGTAATCTAAGAATTCATCATGTTTTTGAAAAGAATGTCCCTTGGGATCATGCATTAGAAGCTATGAATTCAAATAAATGCATGCATGACATAATTACATCATGTTCTTGAATTTTGGGTTGAATTTGTGTTCAATTGGCATACTTTGGGGCCTTGATTTTATGAAATAGTCTTTAAAACATGTGGTATTATGAGTTTCCAAGTATTTTCCAGAAAATTGGCCCAAAAGATTGAGTTTTGGCATGTTGGATTCTTGGTTTGAGCTTTGGAAGCAGATCTGGAAAATCCAGAATTTGGCTTCCTCACTCAAGCGAGAGATTCCACGCTCGAGCGACCACCTTTGTTGTCAAACTCTCGCTCGAGCGACGGAATGTTGGCTTGAGCGTAAATTGCAAGCTCTTAGGTTTTTGCGTGTGCAGACACACGCTCGAGCGACGAGACCTACGTTGGAGCGAAGAGTTATGTCTCACGCTCGAGCGAGCATCGAGCGGAGAATTTTAGCAACCAGTACTTTTCACATTTTTACAGATCCCTCGAGTGAAGGAGCCATGCTCGAGCGACCTCTCTCATTTGGTAAGCTCACCCGAGCGAAGGAGTCCACGCTCGAGCGAGACCCCTGTTTTCAGCGAATTTTGAAAAGTGCTCTAAAGTACATTTTCACATCCTCATTCCATCCTAGGCATTCTTGGGCCATGTTTAAGGCATCTTAATTGAGAATATTGATATAGAACCACACCAAATCAAGTTAGGGGCTAAGTTATTAATCCCGAGTGTGTAATTTAGTGTGTGTGTTCGTTCTGCAACTGTGTAGGTTTGGCACCTAGGGACGCTGTCTAGTCTGCCCATGAGTAACACTGTTGTAAGATATGTTCAATCGTGTTTATTTTCTGATTGATAAATCATATCGCTTATGAAATGATACTTTTTATCGATTGAATGATGATCCTATTTGAACCGTATTCGTGGCATCCATAGCATATTGCTATTGTTATTGATATTGTTATCGTTATTGTTACAGAGATATTTGTCAATTCTAAATCTTAGAACTATTGTTATTGTATGATGGCTATCAATTGATTGTTCGGTCTTTTAAGACCTAGTGTATTGTTGCTATTAG